TCTCCTTCTCGTCCGACTTGTCGCTGGCCTTCATATCCTTCATGAGAGCCTTCATTTGGTTCGTCAGCTTCTTCTTCTCCTCGTCCTTCACTTTCAACTGTTGCTCCAAATGTTGTTTCTGTTTCCGTTCGTCCGACAACTCCTTCTCGTATTTCTGAATCTGAGTCTTGATCTCTGAGTCCTTCTTATTCTTATAAAACTCCAGAAACTTCTTCCTTTCCTTCACCTCTTCGTTCAGTTTCTCCTTCTCCTTGCGAACAGTCGTCAGCTCCGCCTTCAGACCATTGATCGCTTGGGTCTGCTCTTTGGCCTTCAGAGTGTTAGCAGTGGTCAGCTCTGCGTTGTCCGCCTTCAGGCCCTGGATGTCTTCACTGAGACGTCGATTCTCGTCGGTCAGGATCTGCACCTTAATGGCGAGATCACGGGACTGATCGGCCAGTGTCTGCTTCGGGGGTGAGTTTGTGGCACACATGTGATCGCCAAGGGGTGACCGATCCCTCTCGAACCGGTCGTATCGCTCCCTATTCGGGGAGAACGCCATCTCTTCTCAGATTCACTGGAAATACACATAAAAATAAATAAAACATTAATTTGTGACAAATTTTCAATTTAAAAAACTTGTAAATAATTAATATAACAATAACTACCGTATAGTGAGACAAATGAAGGAAAAACAGCAATTAATTATCACTCTATTATAGTACACGTCTTGTCACACGTTTTAAAGTTAATACATGTATTGAATTACCTGTTATTGAATGGATACACAAATGAGCGATACATTCAATACAGTACTGTTTAGCATATTATAAGTTACGCTAACTTATGCAAAACAACTCACAATTAATTCAATGTCAAGATTAAAAAAATAAAAACAACAACATTGAAGTGCAAATATTTGATCATTTTAATAGTGATTATATCTGAAATCAATTTATTTGCATATTATTCATGCTATAGAGTCATATTATAGGGGCTCGCAGTGTAGACATGTTGTATAATATATTTGCCCAGTTTTAGTATAGTTTTAATTACATGAAAATATTTGTGAGCATTAAATATTTTACATTTGATTTGCGAATAAATCACAAAATAAGTTATAAGTCTCGCATAAAAGTGAAATTCAAGTGAATGGGAAGTGCTGTGCATTTGAGACACTATTATAGTCTTGTGATACCCCTATGTTTATAACTACAGTATTGTAGACTTTACTGCTTTTATAACATAAACACTCTTTAAGTGTAAATGTTAATGAATAATCTTATTTATAACATTATTAATCTACTTGTCCCTGTTTTTTGCATTTACAAACATTAGGCAAATGCTAGAATATTATTGATTGATATATAAATCAAATACACAACACATACAAAATAAGTTTTGCAAATTAATTGTTTTGCGTTATCATCAAAGTTTTGTAACCAAATTGCAAATCAAACTTTTAATACGAAAACTCTTCATTCACTAAACTGGTTGTGCAATACATATGCATATAATGACAGTTATGGCAAACCTTCACCTCATGTCAGTCACTAGTTTCGCACAACTATTCAATTCTCACTAAAGTGTTTGACCCGTACTTCACACCCCATCCCATCCCTACCCAACTATCACTATCTCATAACCAGACTATCCATGCATTTGTCAAACACTTAGCCAACGGTTAACTGTAATAAATATGACCCCGAAGTCAGTGTTCACGCGTTTGGTACTAATTGTGGCCTCAAAATCATTTGTAAGTCAAACACAGTATACAATAATAAACACTATTTTTAGATACATGTCATACGAGTCCAGTAATAGGACTCCAGTGCCAAACACTGCGTCCCTTTAATAGGGTCACAGAGGGGGTCATCAAGTGTGGGAACGGCTGTTCATAATGGGTAGGGATGTAAGGAAATGAATGGTCAGTCGTATTGATGTGCAAATGAGTGCAATACTGGGCCACCAATCCATGCGAACATGTTTAGCACAAAACGGGCCATACTTTTGGCTATTTATGGCACATAATTGGGACCTTTTTAGATACACAGCACTAAATAGTGACGAAATTGCAATCAATTGAAAAAGCAATGCTTTGCAACAATTTGAATGAATTGTTTTTGACATTCATTTGTAGTTTTGTAAATGCATTATAATTTGAACATTATTTAGAAAATTGATAGCAATTTGCAAATGAAAACAAAGTTTTGCATAAAAGTCAAATGCATTCAAAAATACATTGAATGCAACGATAAAACACAAAACTTTCGTACCTTTAGTGACAGTCACAGCGAAACCAATGATTAGATTTGCGGTCAATTGACGAGTGATTGACAACTAATGAAACTAATGATCGGAAAGTGAATTGAAATGAAAACAAATAAAAAGTGCGAAAAGTGTGGACTCGTAGACGGCATCAGTCACTGACTAGAAGTGTGTTTGCA